TTTATCACCTATTTGCACTTCAAAAGCAAGGACAATGTGCAGACCTATTTTACTGTTAGAGAGTCATCATAGTCTAAGGAACAGCTTTGAAATCCTACTTAACAACGTTGTTTATGAATACAGAGTTGTTTCTTTGTTCCATCTCAGCCCCTCTGTTTTATTTTGAGGGAGAATCAGTTTGAAATCAAATTTTTATCTTAGGATGATTTTCAGTTTTGTCTGTCTTAAATTTTTTATATATGTTACTTACAGTACTGTTCTGTCTCTGTTTAGAACATACATCAAAGTATTTGAAACTAAGTACAGTTGCACAAGATTCTATTAATTGGACTTTTAAGCCAGAATTTGAAAGAAATTTCTCTGACAATACAATAAAGCAAAGCAGAACCAGCAGGAAATTTAGAAAGGCAAAAGAGATAGCCGTAGTTGCACCATGGTGATTCTGTTGCTGTCCTAAACCAAAACCTTGCCTTTTTATACCGGGATTAAGCCCCAAGACTTCGGCCTTTGAAGATCGTAAATCTTCAGGCCCAAGAGACTGGTGTGAACTGTAAATTAGAAGCCTCAATCCCCATAAACTCAGGATATATCGTGGAAATTGTTGTGAGTAAAGGAATTTCAACAATTTTATATAACAATTATTTAAACTTATGAGAAATTAATTCCATAATTAATTATGATAATAAGTTATCATAATTAAACACCTGAAAGAACCCATCTGTAACCATGTGTGATGATTCAAATTAAGGGAGAACGTGATAAGAGGAGCATGTTAAACAAAAAAACCCACCTAATGACATTATCCAGATGAGAAATCAGGATCTTGTCCTTTGGTCAGTCTAGATGTGTCTATGCTTGCACAGGAAAACTGAGCAGCAGTCCCCAGGTTCAGAGAAGAGGTAAGTTCCAATGATCTGTTAGGGAAGCAAGGGAAATTAAGTTATATTACACTGTGACAAGATCATCCCTTTCAGTAATCTTTCTCAGTAATTTCTTCTGAAGTCAGACAGTACATACTGTGTTTTTCTGAGCTGTTTCGGGGCAAGCTTTTTTACCATCTGTTTTTTCTGACTGTATCTTCTCCATTATGTCCATTATAATTGATAACTGATGTTACGAATAATCATGTAAGGAATGGTGACTTCTCCAATGAAATTACTTTAACTCTCTCCTCTTGGACTAATGTTTAGTTCTTTAAATAGGAATATGCTATTCCTATTTGTGAGTAAAGGAATATTATAATTAATAATTAAAATTATAATTAAAAATAATTAAATATTATTAATAATTAACATAATTAAAATTATGTTTTCTCTTGTTTAATCAAAATCTGTGGTTTATACATAGCTGTTTAGCTTTGTACTTGTTAATTAACATTAATTAACACCTCTTTTTGGTGACAGAGAGACTGAGGCATATAGAAATGAAATCATTGAGGTAGGACAGCATGGCATTGGCAGGAGCCAGGAATAGAAATCAAACCTACTGCCTAAGTGACTTCCAATGACAGAAATAGATAAGCCCTTTAGGCAAAATACAAATGCATGAAAATATTTGAAACTTGACAGCCTGGAAGTATTGCATTCTTTCTGCAAATGTGTCATTCCAGTATCTCAGATAAAAATATCTGTTATAATGAAAGGAATGTTCACAGAAGATAGCTTACATATAATTATATTATATAGAATCTTCTAAATATTTTTAATATTATCAGGAATTTTTACTGGACATTAAGTACCTTAGTATTTCTCCAGTGTCCTTGGACAAGTTTATATATGGCTAACATTAAACCACAAGCTCTTCACAAAAATTTTCAAATATGACACACAAGAAATGTGTCCATTTTACACAATAGATTTGCACTGATGGTTTTCATGTGTGTTTAGGTTATGGTTATTTCTATTGTATCTGGCATGGTATTTCTGTGCTAAAAGTCCAAGTACCTAAAAGGGTGTGGGTTTTCTAATGTAAGACAACTTATCAGTACTGTGCCAGATTTTGCCCAAGCAGGATATTTAGGTGACATTTCACCATAGGTGCTGGAGTAGTGTGTAAATACACAGAAGTTGAGAAATAAAAAAAGTCTCAAAAATGGAGGACACCACCTCCTACTGCAACAAAAGACTTTCTGAGTGAAGGGAAAATGCTACTCTGAGCAGCTGGAGCTGAAGAACTTGATTACGCAAGTTGGCAAGAAATAAATACACTGTGTAAATCAAAGGAGAATCTAGAGCAATATAGCTCTACAGAAACGACATGACATTAAAAAGGCCTTGACCCCAAACTCCTACTCAGAGGAGTAATGGGGATGCTGACAGACAGGATAACATGTGGGTGTCCGTGATTCTGCCTAGCTGTGTATTTTTTTGTGCTGTCTAAACTAGACCATTCTTTTTAGAATCCCCAGTTGGTTTTTTTTCAAAATCTTAAACTGTTTGTGTCAAGCATCAGGCAGTTCTGTAGAGATAAATAGACCCGTGCAAGTGAAGCATTAGGGAAGATGTGTTTATTTTCTTGTGGGTAGCGTGGGGCAGCTTGCAGAGGAAATCGCATTTTCTGGAATACGAGTTGATCACATAAAAGGCTGAACAGAAAGTACAATGGCCTGTTCAGACCAGCGTAGGCTAAAATTGCAGTGGATGCACAAGGCAATTCTGTGATTATACAGACGTTGTTTGGGAGAGTGGCGATAGCCTGCAAGAAAAGCATTGAGCACAGTCAGGTTTCTTGAACTTGAGATGATTTGATGACACTGAGCACTTCACAGATCAAACCCTTAATTCAGCTGGCAAGATTAGCCGAGCTAGTGTTAGAAGATTAGATCAGACTGTGCCCTAGACCGTTGGTAAGAAGCTCATCTGAATGTGTGCGATGATGCAGCAGAGCAACATTGCACCCTTACAAGTCTGTTACTGTCCAGTGCCACCGTTACTGCAGTAACTAAAACTGTACTGTCCCTTTGAGCACGTTAAAGAAAAAACAAAAAAAAACAAAAAAACCCCAACACACTTGGCAAGGTGTAACACCATGTATAAATTACTGTGTTTCCTTGATCACATCCATGTTACAGAGGAATGTTATATGGATGAAAAGAAAATATTCTTTGGGTTTTTGCAAAGAGTGTTTTTTGTTGTGGAAAACCATAATCATAACAACGGATTTCAATCTAGCTAGTCAAGGCGTTGCCCTAATGAAGCAGTGTGCTGCTTTGGACTATTGCTTCATGCTTAAATAGAATGCCTTGACATAAGCCTGCCAAAAGCTGAACTTTTGCTTTACCTCTCTCATTAAGAAACTGAATTTAGCCCTTGCAGATTTTATTTTTTTTCGGTGGTGAGACTAAAATTCATTTCCCTGACTGTGCTGTTTCTGGTAGCGACTCCTAAGTGGCTGCCTGGGGAACAGTATCACAGCAGAGCTGGGAAGAAGTAACACTGCTGTGTTCTCCCAGCCTCCAGTGACCAATGACATGTAGTAGTCCGCTCTTCGTTTTTGTCTTTGATGTGCCTAATCACTTTTGAGCCAGTATAAATTTCAGGCATTCACAGCATCCTGTAGAAATGAGTTGCATAGCTGAGCAAGATTAGCATAAAAACTATCTCTTTTTGCTTATTGGGAATGCACATTCTGATTTTTTTCAGTGCTCTCCAATGCTTGTACGAGAAACAGTGAACAGTACTCGTCTCCATGGTACTTTCGATTTTATGGATTCTACCCTATCCTTCCTCAGTCACGTAGTGTCCCCTGACTAAAGAAACCAGGTCTCAGGCACAATCCATTACATGTGTTTGATCATTTCTTTGTCACATTTATTTGCTTGTTTTCTTCTGTCTTTTTTACTTTTTGTGTTTGTTCATCTTTATGAGATGGGAGACCAGAGTAGGACACAGAATCCAACACAAGGATGCAACATTCTTTTGACAGTAACATCTGGATATCCTGTGGTCTCTTAATCTTTTGCTGATAATTTTAGTTATTGAATTATTGCTTTTTCTGATGCTACTAAACACTAAGATGGTGGGAGTTTTGTGGACTTCAGTGTTACAACTATTAGATCTTTTTCCTGATTGGTAATAGCTAGTTGACAGTCATTGTATTTGAACAGCTAGGATTGTTTTTTCCTGGTGTTGCACTCTCTCAGGTTGCAGTTTGTTTGCCCTCACAGTGCTTCCCATGGAAATATTTCAACTTAAAACTTATAAAAATTTTACCTATGACGCAGAGGAAAATGAATCACTTGTTTTCAAAATTGTAAATTGAATGAAGCTGAATTATTTAAATAAACTTTTTAAATATTTAGAGGTACAATTGAGTTTGTTTTACAAACAAACTGTGCTGGAAAGTTAGTCAGAGATGAGCTTAAAAGTGTGACTTAATCTTGCTGCATTAATAAGTGCTGCTTTTCAGGTGGGAGGGATAATGTTCACACTCTTCCTCTTGGAAGAAATAACTGTATATTAACTCAGCTTTGAATGTGTTTTTACAATCAACCTAAGCAGGAAGATGGGCAGAGGTGTCATCCTCCCCTCACCACCTGTGAGAAAAACAAAAAGCTGCACATGATAACTTTTAATTGGGAAAATGCAGTGGCAGCTCCCAACTAATAATGTAAGTGCAAGGAACTCTGCGCTGTCAAATCCATGAGGAGTAGGCAATAAGACTCTTGTAAATGATTCCATTTTGTCACATAGGAGGTAAAATTGAAAGACTTGCTCTCTGTTTTCTCAAGAATGCAATGTATAGGAAAAGAAATAATGTCTGAATTTTTCAATGGAGATTGAGAAACTTTGACAATCTTGTGCTTCATTTTTTTTAACGTATAACAGACTATAAATAACATGCCATTGCACAGAATGTCAGCTGTGTGTTCATGTATGCGTGCATTTTGCTGCTTCTAGTGTGCTCAGTGCTTAAATGTGTTTCCATCAATGTCACACGTGGTTGGAATAGATTCCCAGAGATTATATTCATTCATCTATATCATGATTTTTCTTTTTTAGGGTATTCTTGAGAGCCATCAACAAATTTGCAGAGACAATGAACCAGAAATTTCTGGATAATATGAATTTTGAAGTCCAAGTAAGTGTTTAAGCTTTTTAGCTGAGTCGAGACAGTCCGTGTAGGTGTGATCATTCTGGTCTGTCAGAGCCCCTTCTGATACTTCATCTCGGTATCAAAATGACTGTTGATTTGAGTTGGGCAGGATTAGGCCATCTTTGATACGACATGAAAGTCATACTTTGATTATTTATGATAAGACACCCGAACAGAGTATTTTGTACTGTGACTCTCTCAGAACTGGGAAGCAGAAAACTGATTCTTTTTTCTCAGCCAGCCGTGTTTTCAGAAAGGCAATCTTTGATGTGATGCACGTAGCCTTTACAATGCCACTCCTGTGTATGTAGGGCAGGAAGAGCTTAGCTTTGTTTGATTCCTAGACTATTTAGCACTTTGAATTTATTTTTATTCTTAACTTGTAGTCTTCCCTGGTAAGTCTATCTTTATTTAGTTATTTATTTTCCTTTATTTTTCAATAGTACTTTCTGAAATAATTTAAAATCAGAGTTTTGGGTTTTTTTAGTCATGCATTTTACTATATGTTTGGCTTGCTTCAAATAAAAATGAAAAAGTCTTTAGTTTCACAGTCATTAAATTATTAAAATGTAAATACAGTTTTAGAATTAGGATTTGTCAATAAATACTGCCAGATTATGGTATGAGCTATAGATAGAAAACACACTAAGAAAGTATAGTATGAAAAATTATTCTATTTCATTCTTTATATTAACTGCAGTTAAAAGTAAATGTTTTAAGTTCAAAAGCACTTCCTGATTACAAAAATCTAACTGTTTATTAGATAATAACTTATTGACCTTAACCACGAAGTTCGGAGGAAGTTCAGAGCTCTGCCTTCCCGAGTTCTCGGGGTTTGTATTTTACAGTTAGTCTTGCAACTTTCAGCCTGGTTTATGTGATTCTACTCTACTGCATGTGTCTGTTTAGACTTACTGTGCTAAAAACTGTTTGGTGTTGATCTCTGTCCTTAACACAAAATACCTTGGTCACAGTTAACTACAGAGCTGTCGTGTAAGTGGTTACGCAGGAAGAGTTTAAAAGACAACAGTAAAAAGAAAGGTAAAAGGTTCAATTCATACTCAGTTACAGTGGTCTCCAAGTAGAAAATGTAGAACTTTTTCCTCATTTATCTCACTGAATTTTTCTACCTTCAAAAGATGTGACTTTACAAGCGTATATATGTATAATATTAAGATTTTTGAATC